GTAATCAAAAACAACAATTTAACAAATGACAGAAACTTTGTTTTGTTTTTTTTTTATGTTTTTTTCCTTCCCAATTTGAAGTTTATTTTGGTTTAGTTTATTTTAGTTGGTATATATGTTAGTTTAGTTTACTTACATATAAATATATCCAGGACATCAGTAACACTGGTGCTGGTTCAAATATTAGTAGTTATTAGTTACAATAACAGTTAGTTATTTCGCTTTCTTCTCACAGTTCTTCATGTGTTAAAAAGGGTTCCCACATCACCAATCAGATTCCTGATGTCATCCTGCCTAGTTAAACCACGTCTTAAAAACGAATACACAAGCTCAATAATCCAAGAGCAGACTAGCTCAGAGCTCATCCCTACGGACATAGTTCACAGCTAGAGTTTCCTAAGTCTTTCCTCCTTTTGGCATTGCACTAAAAGATGAAAAGCTGTGTTTGGTTTGAGGAGGGATTTATTGGTATTAGAACAACACAAACTGTGTAGCACTTAGAAGCATGGGCGTTGGAGGAAATCAGACCCAAATGATTTTGCAATACTCCAATTTGTCGTTCAAACAGTACAAAATGCCTCAGAAATTGTTCTTGTTACATGCACTTAAACAAAAAATATTAATTCTGAGACTGTTTTGCTGAGAAAACCTATATAATGCAGTTATATTACCATAAAGTCATGACATAGTCTTGAAGTTAACTTGTTCACATTCCATTCACTTTAGAATGGAAAATGATAATAGTTCTACAGAGCTTTCTTTTTTACAAGATATTATGCATATATACATAAAATAGAAACATCTTAGATCAGATTATTAATCAGATTAATTCCTCATTGTAAGATTCTATATTTAGACTGATTTTTGAAAAGTTTAAATTTGCTTGAAGATCCCAGACGAGCCCCCAATTTATGTTACCCAAATTAACTTTTAAAAGGTTTAGGGCTTTTAAGATTTGTCTCGGCATAAATAATAATTTTGTGGTCTGCCAGGAGTCTCAGTTCAACATCAGTGCAAGCTTTAATTTCTATTTTTTATTCTTGTCCAGGAAGAGTCCTTCTGAGAATTAATTTGGGTAGTGACAGCAACCTTGAAAAGACCAACCTAATGCATTTGAAGAAGCAGCATGTGGCTGGCGACAACCTATGTGTCCTGTTAAAGGCCAAACGCTATTGTCCTGGTTTAGGGCACCTTTCTTAACTTCCAGGAAATAATATATTTTAGTGTGGGTTATTAAAATAGTTTAACACCCTCAAAGGTATTATACACAATTACTGCCATTAGCTTGGCCCATAAACCCACCTTTACACCCTTATTCCCCCTTTATCACCACACTCAAACTCTGGCGGGCCTGGCATGGGGGTGGGGTGGCTTTGAGCATGTCTCTTATGTAATCTGCAATGTGTAAATGAGGTTTAAATGAAGAAATTGTTTTAGGATAAATGCACATGTTTCTCAGTATTGAGATATTTCTCAGAACACAATTACATTTTTTTTGCCCTTCATTCCCAGTGAGTCACAAAAACTCATGCCAAATTTCCTCTCTCTGATGAAGTTCATGCTAAATTAAACTCAAACTCACTCACTTACCTCGCATACTGTAAGAGTCATTGGGTGGGTTGCAACATTAAGCATTAATTTATGTAATAATTCATCCATTTTCCAAACCATACTGTATGTAGGGCCGAGTGAGTAGTTGCTGTTGCTGTTGAATGATGGGAAATCCATAATGACAAACAACTAAACCAGTTGGATTTGCAAATAAAGCAAGGCGTAAATGAGATACATGCTTACAACTAATCTAGCATTCAACTGCTGTGATTGTGGAGTGGTCCAGGTCTCAGTGTATTGAAAGACTGGAGAAGGGAAAGTGCTGTAGAGGAATGCTGAGTTTGCTATCTTATCAGCAGGTACTGCATTAAAACACAGTTTTATATTCACCCTCTGCTTAGAATCACTGTGACATTTGACTCAGGAGTACACAACACTTGTTATTTATTGACCCAAATTCAGAACATACAGTGGACACATGGTAATCACTTAATGTTATATATTATTTTGCATTAGGTAAATACATATCAAAGCTGGTGACATCTGCGAACATGATGCTAGAGCTTTTCTCAGAACAAAACTTGTTTTTACAGTGACTTTTAATCAGCTGGTGTTGCAGTGATTTTTAGTTAATGTATGAAGTCAGTTTCCCTCAAGTTCAAAGTGTTTTAGCGGCGTATCTACATCATCACATTAACTATGGAGTGTGTTCCAATAATACATGGGGCTGTTCCTGGAGAGCCACTGTCCTGCAGAGTTTAGCTCCGTTCTCAATTAAACATGCCTAAACCAGCTAATCAAGGTCTTCAGATTCACTAGAAACTTGTAGGAAACTGTGTTAGAGATGGTTGAAGTTAAACTCTGCAGGACAATGGCCCTCCAGGAGCAGGATTGGACGCCCCTGCAATAATGGGACCATGATCCGCAAAATAGCAAAATCTTGCCTTCATTTCAAACTGTATATCTGTTGGTTTATCATGTCAGGCTTAAAAACCTTTCTGTGAAACATTTTGCATGAAAACTTTATTTAAAATGAATGCCACTTGGTTTTGTATTTTGTTATTTAATGCAATGACATTTAGTATCCAAACACTTTTGGGGGACATTTTCTTAAATCAGCTTCTGAGATGAAACTGGATATTCAGTGGAAAGAGTGATATATGCACTTACAAAAGTTTACTAAGCCACCTCCAAGATGTTGCTGTTGTTTTGTGACTCATTTGAGGCTGTTTCTCTGGAAACTTTCAGCGCATCATTCAAAGGAAAGCGCTCTTCTTGCTGAGTGTGGTTATGCAAGGCTAGTGAACAAGGTGGAACGCCTTTGAGTGATGTCAGATGAGAAAGGCATGGAAGCGAATCGGTGTCATGGAGTGGGTCATTGAGAGGTGAGGCTGACTGCTTCCACGGGTTCAGCAAAAGTTCAGCCGCATAACATTAGGCAAATTAGTAAGACGGCAATGGAGAGAGAGAGACAAATAAGCCATGAGAGAACTAGAGAAGTGCCAAACTAGTTGAGAAGGAGGAACTCTGAAGTTGGTTTAAGAAACCAAAACTTAGAGGATGTGCATTATGTAATTCAAAAATTGTGAAATATTGACAATGAGTTTTGAAGATGCCATTCTTTTATAGTCCTTTGACTAGAACTTGCCATTTTTACATTGATATGTAATTTTGAACTAGGCCATTGGTTCAAGCGGTTTTGCTTTCAATAAAGTAAAAAACAACTTTGTGTGTGTTTTTAATGATCATGATCTGCAGACTGACTTCTATTCTGTTTGGGGTCTCAGAGATCCCTGCTGCAAATATAGTGATTTCAGCAGTAACCTTAACTTAGTCAAATGTCAAATCTATTATTAAAGGATTGAATTATTTAACACCCCATTGTAGTACCAAATATATTTCTGTCAGGACCACTATCGTCAAAGATGATTGACAATTAGCATACAGTTTGGATTGGCGGTATGGTTCTGTTCTGGACAAGAACTCCCTGCGCATCCATGCAGCCTAGCATGGATGAGAGCAGGGAGAGCAGCAATAACCCCCCAGGGTAAACAGAACAGAACCAAAATAAATGTATTGCAGATATTGTTAAAATTCAATAATTTTATGTACACATTTTAGAATTAGTCTGATTCAAAGGAGAATCAGAAGGCTGAATCCTGACTGACAGAGGAGGAGTTGGGGATGGAGGAGGGTAATTAGCTATTGAGCAATGCAAAAACTGCTGATAATACTGAGGGACCTTATATATGAATGCTTAGATAGGTGTCATATTCCCATAGGTAGATGGGGATCAGCTGAGAGTCAGCTGATGCGAGCTTGACTAACGTGACCTGCCAGAACTAACGCTACACTAGATTTTTGATGGACCACAAAACCAGTCATAAGGGTAAATTTTTTGAAATTGAGATTTATACATCAGGAATAAATAAGCTTTTCACTGATGTATGGTTTGTTAGAATAGGACAATATCTGGCCAAGATACAACTATTTGAAAATCTGGAATCTGAGGGTGCAAAAAAAAATCCAAATATTGAGAAAATCACCTTTAAAGTTGTCCAAATGAAGTTCTTAGCAATTCATATTACTAATCAAAAATTATATTTTGATACGGTAGGAAATTTACAAAATATCTTCATGGAACCTGATCTTTACTTAATATCCTAATGGTTTATGGCATAAAAGAAAAATCGATAATTTTGACCCATACAATGTATTGTTGGCTATTGCTACAAATATATCCGTGCTATTTATGACTGGTTTTGTGGTCCGGGGTCACAAATGTTTTTTATTTAATTTGAATTTATTTACTTATTTATTTGGTCAATTTACCTGCAGATATAAAACAAATTGAAATGCTGAAATATATGGCACACTTAGTTATATGTCCGGGAATAAAGATTGGATCATGGACTTTAAGTTAACCAAATGTGTTTTAGTATAATGTTTTGTTTGTTTGTTCGCTTATTTATTTATGTTTGTTTGTTTATTTATTTGCTTATTTATTATTTTATTTATTTATTTAGGATTTTTAAGATGAAATGAAAACTTTAAAGAACTTTCTGAATCTAAATTTGCACATACTGACTGTTGAATGGTTTGGTAAGAACACCTAATAAGCTCGTGTCAGATAATGGAAATGAATAAATGAATGAATAGCTGGGGAGTTTAAAGCCCAAAGTATTGAAATAATAGACACTTGAAAATTATTAGCCTATTATTATTATTATTATTATTATTATTATTAATTTATTTTGCTGAGAGTTTTTAATTTAGGGATGTTTTTTTTTTTTTGCCAGCTAAAAACTTACATATGTCATCTTTAGTTATTTAGTTTGATTTACAACAAGTAATAGAGATGCAATGTGGGCGGGGCTTTGGAGACAGAGACGTTAAAGCGGGCGGAGATTAAAGGGCAGATATTTAGATGTAGGCGTGGCCAGAACGCAATCACTCGGTCGTCATCATTAATGGGCGGGACCTACAGACTGCAGCTCACTCTCGTCAAGATCCTCTCTCACACTCTCAGCAGCTCCGAGCTCGTGAACACACGGTAACCGCGCGGATTAATAACACACGCGCACACAATATGCTGCTTATAATCGGGAGAACACTAAACATTCAGAAAGGATCCTGTTTAATATCGCTGCACGAGTTTTATGGTATCACGGAGACAAAAACAAGACAAAATAATCACATCACTAAATCGGAGCGTCGCAAATAATATTGGACCAAACTCACCGCTCAACACTGGACATTTGATGGATTTACTGATGCCTCGTTCGTTCTGTATTTTATTATTGTATTAACCGATCAAGATTTGGAGTAAATACAGTGTATATGGTCTAAAATATATAGGCTACATATACTCTTTAGAAATTGCACTTTTGAGACATTGTTGAACCTGTATGTGAATAGGCTATATTTTTGCAAAAAAGTGTTTCAGCGGACATTGATTGGACTGATCTCTGACCATGCACAAGCGCTTCAGCTTGAGTTTTACTCGCTTCTGTAGTTACTGATCTCCTCTGGGAATCTCTGGGATGGATCCATCTCTGTGTTAAAGCTCTATGTGAAGTGTACAGTCGTGGATCAGCTGTTGTCTTGAGGAGTCGAGTCCGACCTGATCATGTATGAGGGTGTGGATGTGAACCCTTTCCTCATGATGGATTACTATAATCAGAGCAGAGGATGTCTGATCCCGGACAAGATGCCCCATCATTTCAGCTCATCCATCAGACATCAGCACTGGAGCGGATCCAACCACTGTACGTGCGTTTTTATTCAGCAAAACACTTTATGTTTGTAGAGTCTCCTGAACTAAACTGCATTCTACTTTGTCTGATTCAATTCAGTTTGTTTCAGTCATTCTTATACTGATATTTAAATCCAGCTGGTTGACCCACTTACGCGCACACAGACACACACACACACACACAGACAGAAAGGGAGAGAGAGATGCTCTTGTCTGCATATTAGCAGCATGCAGATCTTCCCTTTGGATTTAACATGCTTGTTTATTTCTTTCCATCATCAGTCTGGAATATGTTAACAACCAGTCTGTAAAGATAGCAATATCCAGTAAGTCATAGAAAGCACATGGCTCAGAAAACATTTAATAATGCAGATCTTGGCTCTTGAGAGCTGTGCTTTTATGACAGCTCGTTAACATGCTGAGCATTAATGGAACAGAATATGAATGAAATTCAGAACAAGGTTAATGGAAAACTTGTGGATGTGAAATTGTGCTGTGCTTAATGATGAAATAGTGTTTTATGGGTCATATGTGAGAGATAAATGTGATGAAGAGAGAAAGTAATTGCAGGATTTTTGCTTTAACCAATTTTAAAAGAGTCGATCGGCTGTAGCTCTTTGAGCCTTTGTGGATGGTGACCCGGGGCGCACAGGGTCACGCAATTCATGACCTTTGACATAGAAACAGGGACGTAAACACTGAAATCTTACCAAAAGAGTGTCAGAAACAAGTCTACTAAATGTTTAGCCAAAAGATCATGTACATCGGACTCTCAGCCAGTTCATGGATCCTCGGTACAAAATTCTGTAATAACATTAACATACATTACTACATTATGCATAGTAGCGTTGACCTAGTTTCTCAGTTAAAAACTTTTACATGCTTTGCCTCGTCCTGGATTCGTTCAGCTATTGTTTTGTCCAACAAAGAGATTTGCATTTGTTTACTGATGCTTTTACACTCATCTACTGAATCTATAGCCGCCTTTAGAAATACATTTTGTGAAATATAAATTAGTATTTAAAAAAAAAAAATTATTTAAGAAATGTCTACAAGTTTTATACAGATAAATGTAGATAAATTGTGCCATTTTTTTAAGGGATCCCAGCAGTCTGTGGACCCCCAGTTGTTCACATAATCATACACCGGTTGTACTGTTTTGGTCAAACATTTCCATAGCATCACTTTGGTAAAGATACCATGTACCAGTACAGTTAGGTCACAAGTGCAAGTTTTGTTGGAGGTGTATGGATAAGATATGCTTTATGTTAGGGAACTTTGAGCCACCAGGAGACCCTCACTCTTGGCTAAAGTACACTATAGGCTATTCTTCTCTGCAAGCACTAAATTACATAAGAAATGGCTGTTGTGCCATGGCAAGTGTGCTATTACATGCATCATTTACCTTATTAAAATAGTGTTTGAGTTATGATAAATTGCAATTTTCTAAATATGCCTTATTCATTTCTGTTTTGCAACAGCATTCCATATACAAATTTGACATTTCCATAAAGAACTGGGTACAGTTTTTGTTGTGCATCACATTTTTTTGGATGTTAAAATATTGTTTCCTATGCCCTTTGTGGTTGTTGGCATATCTTATAAAGCACAACACTGATCGCCCACTACCATAGTCATTAAAAAAGTATGAGTTGAATCACATTACAATATTTGATTCAAATCAAAAAGTTATGCAAGTGAGTAGTCACAATATAGGGAGGAGAGAAGGTCTGTCTTGAAGGTTTTAGCCTATACTTAAATCGCTAAAAATGCTTCTGGAACCTTACTGTTGGAGCAAAACTTCCTGTGTAAGCCCATCCAAGATGTAAATAAGTTTGTATCTTCATTGCAACAGATTTGAAGAAATTTAGCATTAAATCACTTGCTCACCAAAGGATCCGCTGCAGTGAATGGGTGCCGTCATAATGAGAGGTCAAACAGTTTACAAAGACATCTCAATAATCCACAAATAATCCACATGACTCCAGTCTATCTTGTGAAGTGAAAAGCTGGATGTTTGTTAATCCATCAAGATGTTTTTAACTTCAAACCATTGCTTCTGAGTAAATATGAGCCCTTTAGTGGAGAAAGTCATCTAGTCTTAATCAGGAGAGAAATATGCACAGATCGAGCAACGTTTACAAGTGAAAACAGTTGTAAACAATGCATGTTGGTGGATTTTAAAGTGAGAGCACAACAGGGGATGGAGTGCTTCTCTGGATTTGTTTCTTAAAAACATGCAACTTTTCACTTCGCAAGACGTTAAGTGATTGACTGGAGTTGTGTGGATTTTTGTGATGTATTTATCAGCTGTCTGGACTCTCATTCTGACGGCACCCATTCACTGCAGGTGATCCATTGGTGAGCAAGTAATGTAATGCTACATTTCTCCAAACCTATTTTGACGAAGAAAGAAACGTCTACATCTTGGATGGCCTAAGAGTAAGTAAATTTTGAGCCATTTTTTTTATTATTAGGTGAACTATTTCTTTAACTTTTCCTTTTTCAACATTATTTTGATGAAATATTCCTTGGCATATCCCAGTTGATACAAGCTCATAAAACTGCATGTATCATAACTGCAGCATGTAGTTGTGCACATTGATTGAAGGTTGTTTTAGCATCTTAACACGAATTGAGCAGCAATATGTTTGTATTATATTCCTGCACGATAAACCACTCATAAATGAGAGTGAGAAATGAGGGTGTTGATGTGTTCGTATGGTCTCAGTCATCAGACTGACGGCTCAGGGTCTTTACAGGGGTTGATCAGGATCAAACACACTTGATCATTGATAGTCGGCTTCTCTCAGTGCTCTCAGGTGGGGTTTCCAGAGAGATTACACACCTCAGCGTGAAGGAATGCACTGCCTCTTATTCACATGACAGTCACACACATACACACTCCCCTTCACGCTGCACCCACAGACCTTTGTACACACTCCTCTTTACACATGCACAATTCTTGCATGCTCACAAAACTAACATCTATATTCTTAAATTCTATTCATGCATAGCATGCCTTTGCACACATTTCACATGTCAGTGCATTGTTGTGCCATGTGCTGTGTTTAGCTGCCTGAGATCTTATTGGAGGGTGTGTGTGAAACCGGCTGTATATTAACAGCATCTCGTTCTGTATATGAACTAAACAATTAGTCACGTGGAATGTTTGCACTTGAGCACTCATGCACATTTACGACCAGCTGAAGCTATCATTGCCTTCTAGTACTTTTGGGAAGTTTCTACTTAAGAGTTTGGAAGATGATGAAATTATGATTTGTATTGATGTGATGTGCACTCTTGTCATTTTAGGTCAGAGAAAATGGATAAGTTGGGCAGTTTCATAATTCTGTCTTTTAATAAACTTCCTGATATACACAGGAAGCTTTTAGCACTGTTGCAACAAAATTAATAGCACAGGATGCGCATTGACACTTTATTGCTTTATCCACAGAGAATGAAGTAGAATCTTTTGTTACACAAGCTTGTCTTGTAAGTGCAGCTATATATGGAGTGTTTTGTTGCTATTATTCATCAGTGGAACACAAAATTGTACAGACTAAATTGTATAGTAAATATTAGTGATTGAAACTTAATTAGCAATTAATATAATTTATATCTATCAATTCTGGCAGGGTTTAGAGTCTGGTTAAGGATAGTTTACTCAAAAATTATAATTCTGTCATAATTTACTCTCTTTCCTTTTGTTCCAAACCTGTAAGACTTTCATTCTTTTGTGGAACATAAAATAAATATTTTGAAGTCTCTATTTTTTTTCTATACAATTGGTTCCCAACATTTTTCAAAATATCTTATTTTGTGTTCTGCAAAGTACAGTAGGAAATGCATAGAGGTTTGGACAACAGCCTCTCATTGCAATTGGTAACTATATTATGTTTTGACAAATAGGTGGTGAACTCACAAAAAATAACTATATAATGTACTGTGTATTGCATGCTTGCATTGCAGTTATGTTGTGTTAAGTCAGATGGATTTAATCATTCATCAGCTGGAATAAATTCTCTGATAGTAAACCTATTTTTAGTTGACATGAGGAATTGAGTCTGATATGTTCTCAGAAGGTCTCTGTGGTCTGTGGCATTCTCACATTAATACCAGTTCAATGTAAAAGCAGCAGATTAATTGTACATTGATATTTGTCCTGGAAGTTAGGAAGACAGCTGGTGCATTTAAAAATATGTGCGTTGCATTTAAAGAAAAATTGCAATGTAGTTTTGCAATATTTTTTTTTACCAAAGTTTTTATGGTGGGTGTTCTAAGGTTCTTGGGTGTTCGTGTGTTGGTTTCTAGGGTGTTGTGGGGTGTTTTTCTACTGAGCCTGATTTTTGGCTCTAGATATGATTTTCTGGATATGACATTCTGTTTTTAAATATGGCTCACATCCATCTTTCAAAATACACATTTGAAGTTATTTTTTATTTTATTTATTTTAAGCATCTGATCTTATGCAACCTGTCCACATTCTATCAGTCTTAGCAGTACATAAATGTTTTGATAGGATTACTGCTGCTTCTTCAACGGGGCGTCTTTAGAGATTCTCGTCTAAGGTCATATCTTAGGTAATGGCGGCTTCAGGCTTCATCTCGCATGAACATTTGATCTAGGCCTGTTCCACCTCTTTATTTTTACATTGTCTGTTTTATTGTGTGGTGTTGAACGATACTGATGCTGACATGTAGCCGATCACATTAGCAGTTCATTATGTGTGTGTGCGTCCCCTGGCTTTCAACAAAACATCCCATAGCAGCTTTTCTAAGTCTAAACATTTGGCTTACTACATCAATCATTACAATGAAAGACAATGTTACATGATCCTTCAGAAATCATTCTAATATGCTAATCTGGCGCTCAAGAACCCTTCATTATTAGTTGAAAATGGTTGTACTGCTTAATGAAGTGTGAAAACCACAATACAGTGTCTTTAGGATTCTTTAAGCAGAAAGTTTGAAGAACAACATTTATTTGAAATCTAAATCTTTTGTATCATTT